ACTCTTTCCTGCTTATGCAGGGGGTCGGACTCGATGATATATTGAGGTCCCTTCCGACCCTAACATCTATGAATCTATGAATATCCATTCATGGATACAAATGGATCCCCAAATCCTATTTGTCCTATGTAAACATGTGATTGATTTCTTCCCTGAGAGTCCAGAAGCGGTGAACAAGAATGGTTTTATTTTGGCTAACATAGAAAATCAAATGGAAATTCAAATGAACCTGGAGGGATCATCATCTTTCATCTATAGCTCTCACAACTGTATTTTTTGAACATTATACAGTTAGTTACCTGAAGTCATTTTACTGAAAAATAAAATTTCTCTGTAAGGTCTCTCAGATCCATTCATCCTTGTTTATCCTGTTTAATGAAACATTACAAAATTTATGTATTTTTTGAACATTACAAAAATTGTGATATATATCCTGGTGTGGAATCATTTCTGACTATGAAATGGAATCTCAAAACCTGTTAAACCGAACAGAAAAAAACCAAGAAATTGTAAAATGCCCTTGTTGGAACTCAACAATCATAAGCATCTCTGAGCCATTTTACCCAATGTATTAAAATTATTTTTTTCCTACATAGAAAATAGATTCATAGATCTACATATCGGCCAATATGGCTGGTCAATAATCAGCTACATATTGGCTGATATGTCTGGTCAATAACCAGCCATCATTGTTAACCCAAAAAATCTTTATCAGTTAACCCCTAGTTTTTTGTGCTATCTTTATTGGACTAACTGTATAATTGTGAGAGAAGTCTGACAAGCCTTCAGGCACACGCTGCCCTTCCTCAGGTCTGAGGGAGATATATGATCAAAGGCAAACAGCAAGAACACAACCTGGGAGATGCACACGTGCACATGAGCATGTGCACACGCACACACACAGAGCAAGGAACCAACCTATACATAAATATGAAAACAACTGATATATAGACCTGAGATTTACTTACACACACACACACTATAAAATTCCAGGTCTACATATCAGTTGTTTTCATATATGTACACACACACAGATATATACACACACACATATATATGTATGTGTTTGAATATATGTATTAGGGCTGTCAAATGATTAGAAAATTTGATTGCAATTAGTTGCTTGATTAAAGAAATTAGTTGCAATTAATCATGATTTTAATCGTACAGCTAAAAACTCAAAATTGCAGAAAAACTCAAAGTTATGCAAAATTATGCAGGTACTTTGTATGGTTGGGGGTGGGTGTGGGGTGTGTTGGGGGGAGGGAACTTGTGAAGATATGGGCAGCTGTGAGTATGTGTGTAGGATTTGAACCCCAGGGAGGAGGGTTCCCACGTACCCTGGCAGGATATGGGGTACTGTGGGTCAGGAATGAGGGGCAACAGTAGGGCTGGGATGTTGTGGCTTGGGAGTGAGGGGTAGACAGACACACAGACAGAAAGACAGACATGCGCACACACACACATACAGAGAAGAGGTGGGGGGGGGCAGATCAAGGCCCCCACAGTGAGGGAGGGAGTGGGGCAGAAGCAGGGACTGGGATGAATGGGGCCCTGGGACCAGGGTAGGTTGTAGAATGGAGCTGTGTGCACTGGGGCATGTGCCCCCCAGATTTATGTGTGGGGCAGAGGCAGACTGCCACTGCAAACTGGGCTCTGTGCCCCGCTGCCATTGCCCTGGGAGCCACACAATGCCATGCTGTGCCTCCCCCACCAGGTAGGCAGGAGACATGCTGCAGCCAGCGCATGGCTCCTAGGACAAAGGCAGCGGGGCACAGAACCCCAGCCCACAGCAGCAGCCCACGACTGCCCCATGCATAAATTAAGGTGGCACATGCCCCCTATGCCTTCCCCAGGGTGCATGCAGTGGCAGGAGCGCCCCCCCCCGTGCTCCTGGATGAACTGCCCATGGCTCCATACCATGACCCACCCTGGCCCTGGGTCCCCATTCACCCAGCACCTGCACCCGTCCCACTC